ACCCTGGAGCTGTGAGGCAGCGACACTACCTACACTGATTACCAATATCATGACAAAACCGTAAGGATATTATAGTGAAATGAGAATTTATTAAGATATTTAACATCAGCACATGGTTAAAAAAAAAAAGATAACACCAACACAAATAATGCCATGAGTCATTTGTTTGGTATGGAATAAGTGTGTGCAGACACCTTCGTTTCTCTGGAAGAAATCTGCAATAGAGTACGTCAGATTTAAATATAGCAAAGGTGAATGGGCGCATCAGCTCTTAAGAGAGCTCATTATTAAAGAATGCTGCCTGCAATAATGTGTCAGACAATTCCACCCACATGAATCTCTGACCACATGTAAAATATGTAGAACATCTGAAAAATTTGTACATAAATTTTGTACCGGGGATTTGCTTATACTTACTACGCCTTATTTTTCATTTTCAATATGATACTGCTTCAGAGAACTGAGTATGGGCCAATGTCTAATGCTGATCCAACCCAATACTAGTCCAATACTTTAATAACCACAAAGGCTGTTGGGATACTGGAGATCAGTTACTTAATAGGATAGATTAAAGATCCTGCCTTTATTTGTGCATACTTCATAATTCTCTTACTCTGTATATCTTCCATATGCCTTGTTTCTTATTACCCAGTTAGCATGCAGGCTCGACCGCAGATCAGCTAATCTGCAGTGATGTCAGCTAAGAGTCAATATCAGTAGCTGGAAATGGGCTGAGTGTGTCAGCAAAAAGCAGTTGGTCCAATTCCATATGTGATAACACAGCCAGGATCTGCATTTATAAGCATGAGCCAATTTTGGTGTCCCTTTCACAATTCTGGTGTCCAGTTATATAATTACCAACATATTACAGGAACCATTACAGGTTTGCATGCAAATGTCTATGAAAGGTCTTAAACAGCTGTTTCAACACTTCTAGTCAGCAGAAACAGTGAGAATCACCTAAATCCTCCTTGTGCAAGCCCAGACCTTCCAACAAAGCTACGTGATGACATATTTCTTACTAAATACCACTTCATACATCCATCTTTCCCCTTTCTTCTTCTCGCCTAAGGGTATAACACAGTGCCACTATAGTACCTATATCTGCTTAGTGCTCCAAATATCAATACCTCTTTCTGTATTTGTATTTTTTTGGTCTTAACTACAGATGTGTGCGGGAGTATTCATTTAATCCATCTCAGGGCAGTTATTATTCTGCTTGTACTTGTCTACAATATTTTCGAACAAATTACTTGTTAAAAATAAACAAACTAATAGCCTATTTTAAACCACCGTGACCCTGTCCAGGCAGTTACTAAGGATAAACTAATGAACTCTTTAAATACATTGAGAAGTGCTTGCACATTCATTTTAACGAACACAGTCTTTCTTTGTCCCACGAGCTTCATATCTCCATAACTCACTCGTCCACGCGTCAAAGTAAAAAACTCCTGCTGCAATTTTTTTTTTGTTGTGTCCCAATGAACAACTCTACACAGGAAAACACAAACACAGGTGCTGTTCTATACTGGGTTCATCAACCAATTCAACCCCACTGACTGCACGCTGAGTCTCAACTGCCGATTCAGGAAGTAAGGAACAAATATCGTGACTGATTATGGTAGCATAATCACCTGCACGTTCTCCTCCTCGAGCTCCTTAATGCTATGGAAGGGACTTTTTGGTGTTTTAGATGAAAATCAGTTTAATCTTTTGGTTGTAGTGTTGAAAAAATGGAGATCACAGCAACAATCGTTGGGGAAATTCTAACTCTTGCCAACCAGCTCGAGGATGTTTCTCTTGTTTCGGGAAGTGAAGTGATCCTTGACCAGCTAGGAGAGTTTGTAACTGTCACAAACACAGACATGATTAATGAAGTTGTCTGTGTGAACATGCTTTGTGAAGTGTCCTTGACCTGGTTCAAAATGAATAATTAAGCAATTAAAATGGTTGTGTAATTACCCTTAAACCTCCTATTTCTGCAAATTTATGCAAACTGCTTTAAGTTTGAGTTTTGTTAACTTATTTGGGTTTACAGTTCTTTATTTTCATAATTTTGTTTCATAATTTGTAAATTTGGCTTTGGCTATCAAATGAAGTGATGCAATTATATTTCTCTGGTGCCAGCTACTTATTTTTCTGTTATGAACCAAAGCCAAGTCAAATGGTCCGACTGACTAAAAAAAAACAGGAGTTCACAATTTTAGAAACATTTATTTAATTACTAGTTTGAAGCCCAAGTCGTATTGGATGGGGTCCAAGTCATCACTGGATGGGGTCAGAAAACATGTCAAACCCAATTCGATACTGATCCAGAGGTTTTGGCCAATATCAGAGCTGTAATAAGTTTCAAGCTGGTACATCCTTAACTGGAACACAACAAATCTGTTTGAACAGCAGTTTGAACACTACACTTTGTTTGTAACAGCATAAAATTTCTCCAGGGACAGATTCCTGCAGTTTACTGTACTTCTGTTTGGGAATGATCCTATGTTCCCTTGGCTGTGAAGAAATTTTGCTTCTCTGAGTTTCTATTAAAAGTCCAATTCACTCAACAGACTTCTAGATATATTCAATGTCTACCTTCACTCCTGGGCAAAATAAATAAATAAATGAGCCAAGCCCAAAACTATTAAGCATTTAATGGTCTTAACAAAAAAACCATTGGTAAAGAATTAAACAAATGCACTCCTGAGACCTCCTCTGCCACCATTTGCCCATTTACTTTGCTGCAGTGAACTGTTTGGGGAAATCAAAGGGAAAAGCTCTCCCATACTTTAACTATTTGTTTAAGTCTTGCAAATTTCCTGACCAGTGATTTTAAGACCATTAAAAGCTTAATATTTTGCCATTTTGGGCTTGGTCCATTTTTTTGCCCAGGAGGGTAAATGTCATGGTATTTATATTTATTAATCTACAATGCATTTATCCAAACTGAGGAAGAATCCAATGCAAACATATTAGGTGAGCAGTTAACATTACAGGTCCTGGTCTAAGGCCCAACAATGTCTCCGTAGCAATCATGGCATTTGAATTTACAACCTTCTGATCAGAAGTGCAGACCCTTAACTGGTGACCCACCACTGGTCATAAGCATATGCTGTCCTTTCAGTCAGTGAATATCAGTGAGTATTAAAGGTATACCCTAGCATTTCTCAACGTAATCTGTCTAGTGCATCTGTAGCACACATGACACTGTGGATAACAATTTTAACAATTTCATATCCTGAGAAAACTCAATTCAGCTCCATTCAAATTTCAGCTGACTCAAAACGCTGAAAGCCATCATGTATTTCTCAGAGGGAAGAATTTGTAATGTGTTATCACTGTAATCAACAAACACGGAAGTGCTTCCATTCTGGATATGCTTCCACATGGATACCATAAAGCCTTTAGGAAAGTCGAAGTAACATGAATTCCTTTTTATTGTAATTCCACGAGAACAGCTTTGGTAAGACTTTCTCTCTTTCTCCTCTCAAGCACTTTATTGTTACACTGTGTTACCAACTCAAAGAGTCGCTAAAAGTTGCCAGATAACGCTATAGACTAATTTGCATTTCAAAACATATTACAGGAAGAAGGAAGATTTACTGATGAAATGTATATTACCATCAATTTACAACAACCATCCCAAATTTATACTCTCTCTGCAATGACCAGAAATTGAACTGTTTTAGGGGAACAAGAAGGAAGTGCAAGGTGGGGAATGATATTTGTTTTTACTAATATAAAAAAAAACAGCACATCATTTAATTTAAGACAATCTACAGTCCCCTCTAAAAGTATTGGAAAGGCAAGACCAATTCTTTTGTTTTTGCTATACACTGAAGACATTTCAGCCTTCATTTCCTTATATCTACATCTAGATGTGTTAAACAACTTGGCATCTTTTGTTTGAACCCACTCATTTTTCAAGTGATCAAAAATATTGGAACATGTGAATGACAGGTGTTTCTTCTTGTTAAATGATGTGCCCTGTTACACTCATTATTTAAACAATTAATAGCTCTGAATGTCTACTCTTGGTTTAAAAAAGGATAAACCAACATGAAGACCAGAGAGCTGTCTATGGGAGAAAAGCAATTTTGCAACCATTTTGAAGCTGAGAACAGAGGGAAAGTTGATCATCTCCATTACAGCCAATACATGACAGAAACATTGTGAGATCTATGAAGAAATACTCAAAAACAACAGTCACCAACTGTTGGAATTTGCAAATAAATACAGAGATAAACCACAAAAGTTCTGGAGAAAGAAAAGATCTGCTCATGGTCTAAAACATGCAAGCTCATCAGTCAAGCATGGTGAATTTTGATTCATGACTTGGGCTTGCATGGATGCTTCTAAAATGAGCTCACTAATCTTTTTTGATGCTGTAACTCATGATGGTAGCAGCTGAATGAGTTCAGAGGTCTACAGAAACATCCTGTCTGCCAATTTACAATCTAATTGGGAGGAACTTCATCATGCATACATTCATGCAGCAAGGCAATGACCCAAAACACACTGCTAACACAACAAAAGACTTCATCAAGGGAAAAAATGGAGGGTTTAAGACTGACCAAGACAATCACCAGACCCTAACCCAACTGAGCGTGCATTTCACCTCCCTAAGACGAGACTGAAGGGAGAAACCCGCCCAAAACAAACACCAACTGAAAGAAGCTGCAGTACAAGCCTGGAAAAGCATTATAAAAGAATAATGCAACAGTTTGATGATGTCAGTGCTTCACCAGCTTGAAACAGTTATTGCAAGCAAGGGATATGCAAGTAAATATTAAGTGTTATTTACTTTAAGACTATCTGTTCCTATACTTTTGCTCACCTAAAAACTGGACCACCACGCACACTTTTTGCTTTGACCATAGCACTTTTTGACCAAGTGCAAGTTCTCAAAAAAAAAAAAGTGGGAATAGGGCCTCATGGGGTGAGAAAGTTTGAATACATGTACAATAATGTGAGGAGAAACTTTTAAACAGTTACACTGTTAACTGTAGTGGTCCCTGGAGGACTAGTGGTTAGGCCACAGCGCTCTCACTGCTGCCACTCGGGTTCGATTATCAGCCAGGGAACCGACCCCAGACACTGGCGTTGCACACGACAGTGCACTCCCAGTGCCGGTCCCAAGCCCAGATAAAATTGGGAAGGGTTGCATTAAAAACTGTGCCAAATCAAACATGCGGACCGATGATCTGCTGTGGCGTCCCCTAACAGGAGCATCCGAAATTAGAACAACAACACTGTTAACTTTAGTATAAATAAAGAAACATAACTAATAGAAAATATCAAAACAAACATATGAAAAGAAAGCATTTACATTTGCTACAAGATTCTCTAATCAGACCTGACAAGCTACTCTGCCCTTATTTATTAGAAATTTGTCTCCTTCTATCAGCTGGTGAAACGCTCTACAGTACTTCTTACTTATTAGACTGTACAGTTCATTAGCATGCTGCCAGTGCTTGACAGACACAGCAGAGGTGGACAGATGCAAGAAATACATATAGCACATGTCAAAGTGGATGTGGAAGAATGATAATTAACTTATAAATCGTTTTTTTTTTTTATTGCTATGTATTTTGGGTGAGACTATTGTTGGTTGGACAATGTCAACTGAATGGTACCAAAAGTATATAACCATAGTGAGAGTGGGGGTTCAGGGCACCAGCATATACCAAGACCATGGTTTAGAAATGAAACGTCACCACCACATCGAGCAACACAGAAGTTATAAACATGCCAACTATACGGTAAAAGCGAAGTGGAAACAAACAAGGAAGTAACCATAAGGACAGGAAACTGTGACCATATAAGGAGAGTTTTTGGGAAACATGGACAGATGGAGATGCGTGTGGAAGTGTGATGTGTAGATGGAGAAAAAAATCAAGTTAGATGTGAGAGTACAATTTTAGCATAAATTTGTCACTGTTTCATAAAGAGGCAACATACAAATATGATTTTTTTCATGTCTACATAATAATTTTCGCATGCAAGTCACCCAAAATATGTTTGTGAAGACAACTGTATGCTTCTGTATTAAATAAATATAAATTGCGTGACCTTTATCCTTATGAAGAAATCTAGAGTCTGTAAATATGAAAAATGGTTTCTGTATAAGTAGTGAACTTATATTACTCTGAAATCTATGCTAATTATTGGCCATAGGCTTCCAATATTTGCTAGCTTTGTTTGCTTCATATCTCCAGTGCAAAGGAAAATTTAGACTGTATGCATTTGAATAAATGAAAAATGTGTGGAAATGTGATTCTGATCTGAACATTTCTTCTTATTTGTTGCTTGTGCAGGTTTGCTATGCTAGCTTCAAAGGACTATCAAAGAACATCTGCTGTTTTGTTGTGGCAATGAATTACTTGAGATTGAGTCTATCAGTGTTTTTTTTTTTTTTCCTTCAAAGCAATACAAGCATAGAACCAAGTGGCTAAAAGGGGAAAGGCTGCTCTGCAAGCTAATGTGAGCGAAAATTAACATCCTGCATTACAGTGAACGCTTACTTCAGAAAGATCTTGCTCTTTGGGTAATTTTCACCTGCCAGACACATATGATAGCCATTTCTTCATGATACAATGTTCAATGTTTTCTTTCTCTCATTGCATTCAGTCTCAATTGAACTGGGCATGGATCAGACACGATCTTGATCTTCATTTTTACACATGAAGCATACTGCGCTCACAAGAGAGATGCAGGTTAACAAACGATAATGAGTATAATCGTTCATCTGGTACTGAAATTAATGCAGCAAAAAGCATATGTCTAAAATCATTTACCATGGTGAATTAACACACAGTGTTGAATTAACATTGAGAGTTGAATTAATATCTCAGTTCCTGTATGTCAGTATGTACTGTATCGAGATTACCATTCAGTTACTCATCTATTGTATTACTTAGTAATGACACCTATAATCATGTAGGTGTTTAGTCAGTGCTGTACATGCTAACTGAATGCTGCAGGAATAATGCGGCTCACTGTTGAAGTTCAGAGGGCAAAACAGGGTAATTTCCTGTTTTTTTTTTTGTTTTTTTTTACTAATTCGATTAAAAAAGGTCTTACTGTCCCAAAATTTAAGCACTGCACACCAATGACTACTCTCTTAAACGAAAGGACTGATACATACCGAAATAGATCAAGGTTTAAAAATGTTTAACTTAAAAATGTTAAACTAAATAAACTATAACTGTTGTTTCTATGCATCAGCTGTAGTTTTTTGTTGTCTTGTTAAAACACAGTTTATTTGATGGTAGAAGTACTTGGTTTGTGATGTTCCAAATATTTGACTATGTTACATCGGGAGTTACAGCAGGCTGTAAACAAGTCCTGAGTCTACACATCTGTTCAGTTATTGAGTGCTCCACAACAATGCGACAGAGAACACTCAAATGTCATATCCGGACAGATCATTTATTACTTTGAAAGATTACATGCAGCTCTTGTTGATTTTGTTGATATTTTATTTATAACTAAGCTATTTTTTTGCCCATTAGTGAGACTGTAGATGCCGGTGTCCGCACCACTAGGGGGCCTGGATAGACACGCTACAAAGTGCAGCTCTCAGAATAAATATCGTAATAGCTATTTCATCCCTACATTCTCAGAAATAAAGTTACCAAACTGTACTTTTCCTTGCCATAGGGTACATCTTCTGTATTCTGTATTTAGTGTGTATATATTTTATACCCGGTTATGTGAGTACCTAAAAAGTAATTTAAGATAAATCATAATTGGTACCACCAAGGGTACCTCTTCTGTATTCTGTATTTAGTGTGTATTATTCACCTGGTAATGCGAGTACCTAAAAAATCATTTACGATAAATCATAATTGGACCTTGAGGACCACTGAGGTAATTTTTAAAAAACGAATCAAAGCTACATCACGTGCATCTTCACAGATGAAAGATTAGGAATAAAACACACCACCCTTGATGGTACCACAACTGCAACAAGGAAAAGTACAGTTACTTATCTTTATTTCTGAGAGAGCAGATGTCAGTTGAGCGCAGGTGTTAATGACATGTAACAGTTAATTCAGCACTGAAGGTGTTAATTCAATACTTCTGTGTGCTCATTTTTCAATACTGGCAATTGCTTATTTTTTTACCTCCACACACTTAGAAAAAAAGGTACCTTTCCTTGTCACTGGAGTGGTACTCTCAAAGTTACATATGTCGTGTACCTTTAAAGCTTTGTACATTACTCATAACTGTCCATTTATGTATCTGAAATCTTTTTTTAAAGGTGCACTATATCCACATGCCCAGTGAAAGACACATATTAAAGATACAAAGGATAAGGAACAACGTAGTACCCTTTTTTTTTCCTGAGATGGCATGCACTGCAACCCACAGAACACCTGTGCATGCGAATATTATACATTCAGAAACAATATATTTAAACAAAAGGTAGCATTTTAATAATTTTTATGAAACAGCTACAGATGGAGTATACAGGAGACTCACCTCCAAACTCCAGCCGCCACCTGTAGAGCGCGTGCAGAACAAAACTGAGCTTTTACATTATTTCAGCTCCTCAGTCACCTGACTGTCCCCTCGTCAACAATATGCCAGTTATCTAGCAGTTTATTAATAACCTTTTTAAAAAAAAATCATCTTACCGTGTGGAGTCGGAAGGAAGCGCGCGCGTCTCTCTCTCTCTCTCTCTCTCTCTCTCTCTGTCTGTGTGTGTGTGTGTGTGTGGTAGGAAACACTGTATCCGTCTTAGGGACTTACTGCTGGAGTCCCTTAAATTTCTCTCTCTCTCTCTCTCTCTCTCTCTCTCTCTCTCTATCTATCTATCTATCTCTCTCTCTCTCTCTCTCTCACACACACACACACACACACACACACACACGAACCTGCTTACTAATCTCACTAATACATACACACCCAGCACACTGATGGTGAATTACCCATCTGGTGTTTTATTAACACAGCAATGACTGATAAGCTGTGCTGAATTAAATCTTGCATTTAACCTGTTACAATTTTGACCACACACCTTTGTCTTATTATACTTGTGAGGACCTTCAACTGACATTACTAATGGAGCTAATCAATGCCATGCCTACAGCTAAATCTAAACCTAATCTTAACCTTAGCAACTATAAATAAATAAATAAATAAATAAGTAAATAAATAAAGTAAAAGCAGCCAAATGTCCCCACAAGGTCAAAACTGTCAGCTATTCACATTTGGTCCTTGCAAAGACATAATAAAAAGGTCACACAAGTACATACATGTTCCAATAACACTACAGTAGTGTTAATAACACTGAATGAGCAGTAATCCAGAGACCAACATTGTCACTGTAAACTATTTATTTTTTGTGTTTTTCCTTGTATTCATTACCCCATTTCATGCAGAGCATACCAGTGGTGCACATGCCCAAAATAGTCAACTTTGTCCTCACTGTACCACAATACACAGTTCAAATGGTGCTTGGTTTTCTGATGATGTTTGTTTTTCAGGTGCGGCATGCATTTTGTGGGGAGCTCTCAGGAAGGGCTTCTTTCAATTCTTCCAAACAGCTTGTTGCCAAAAAAAATTCTAGTTGTTTTTCAAAAAAAGAAGTTTCAATGAGAATCATTTTAATTAGATGAAATGGAAGTAATTAATCCAAATCTTTGGGTGGAAAATTAGAATCAATAGGCCTCATTTATCAAATATTTAGTAAAGTTGTGTAAAGGTTTCATAAGCCAAACCAAACAAAAAATAATTCACAGAATTAGGTGTCATTTAGTTGATCGTAGACAACAAGCTATGGGGCACCCATACAAATGTAAAAAGTCGAATACTCTTTTCTCAATTATATTTTTTAACCATTTGAAGCCATTCTGATACATTTACATAGTGCCTCATCAAATAATAGTTTTAGGTTTATATATACAGTTAGGTCCGGAAGTATTTGGACAGTGACAGAGTTTTTGTGATTTTGCCTTTATACACCACCACAATGGATTCGAAATAAAACAATCAAGATGTGATCGAAGTGTAGACTTTCAGCTTTATTTTAAGAGGCTCCACAAATGGCTGTAATTCCTAAATGGTAAATGCCATA